TTAGCATTCGGGAGGACGCCGGTTCGATTCCGGGTCCGTCTGCCTTGGTCCAAGTTTTTCTGTGGTTTCCTTGGATCACTTAGGCAAATGCTGAGGCAGTAATATTCCACAGATAATCTTTCATTCTCTTCTGTCTTCATTTCGTCCGTCTCATCTTTCTCACCCGAACCACCACCCATCCATTCCCACGATTCCTTAAAGCAGAGTGACAAGGGCCTTCCGCCCTACCTTCCGGTGTAGTCCGGAGGGACTGCCCGCCCACCAGCATTACTGGCTGGTGGGGATGAAACACCCAAGTTTTTTTTTAGTACGGGTGCCAAAACGACGACGGTGGGCGAGGCGGAAAAGAAAAGGTTGTGAGATGTTCTAGGTTTAGGGAAATGCGAAAATTAGTTCGAGATAGAAAATAGTGTCCGTAATTTTGAAGGAATTTCAAATGTCGTAAAGATGTTGAAGTTACTTTTACCGCTACTATAAAGTAATAAAACTATAAAGTGATAAGGAAGTTACACAACAAAGTAATTGCGACCATTGAATATCACTTTAAAAACATCACTTTAACGTAATTTTGTACAGTAACAATTTGGTTCTACGTACTTCAGAAGTCGCTTTTTAAGTGATAATTACGTAATAACTACTTATCTCTGTTTCCACACCATTGATACTGCTTGGGAGCTAGGGCATTGAGTTAGTTTTATTTCTTTAGCGATTTCCATAAATCAAACGAAAAATGCAAACTTTAAGAAAACTTCTATGAGATAGATATCAACAGGTATCAGAAAATTTTAAAAATATACGGTATTCAATATAGGGAAAGAGCGAATATAAGATAGGAGACGAAAACTTAGAAGAAGTGGCCGAATTTAGGTATCTAGGAGGTCAGATAAGCCAGGGCAGAAGGAGTAGTAGGGATATAAAGCAGAGGATAGCGCAGGATCGTGTCGCCTTTAATAAAAAGAAGTCACTTCTATGCTCTCGAACGGTTAACTTGGAAATTCAAAAAGGTTGTTAAAGGTGTATGTTTGGAGCACGGCGCTGTACGGGTGCGAAACATGGTCAGTCGGCGCGGTGGAAAAGAAAAGGTTAGAAGCGCTCGAAATGTATTACAGACGAATCATCAGGATACTGTGGATAGAAAGGGTTAGAAATGAAGAGGTATTAGAAAGAATAAGAGAACTAAGGACTCTATGGAAATCAATAAAAAGGGGCGAGATAGGTTGGTAGGACATCTTCTCAGGCGTGAAGGTCTAGTTAGAGACATATTAGAGGCACAAATGGGAGTTAGGAGGGGTAGAGGTAGACCTAGATTAGATTACTGTTCGCAAATATTTAAGGATATGGGTTGTTCTAGTTTTAGAGAAATGTGAAGATTAGCTCAGCTTAGGAAAGAGTGAAGGTGTGTCTCCAATCAGTCTTAGGACTGACGACCTTGACCTTATGATGATGATGACGGTAGTCAAATACATAAGTAAAATTCGGTTATTCCATTCAATATTACGAAGTAATGAGGCACTCCAAAAGAACCAGAAATGACGTATATTTGAAAATATTTTCATTAAGTAAGCTTCAAGCTTGATAATTCTAATGAATGGTTTAGTTCAATCATTTTGTATATTTAATTAACTTTAATGTAAATATTTTTTTTTACTTTTCAGGGTGACGGTGGTGGACCTTTAGTTTGTCCTGATCCAACCAACCCCAGCAGATACATGCAAACAGGTATCGTAGCCTGGGGTATTGGTTGCGGTGACACGGGGGTTCCTGGTGTCTATGTCGACGTGGCACAATTTAGAAATTGGATAGATGAACAACTAGCAAGACTGAAAATCGATACTAGCCCGTACAAATTTTGATTTAAATAATAATACAATAAAGTAATTTTTTAAAGTAATTGTTTTATTTCCTATATTTGTGACTATATCCGACATGTGCTAGTTGGATTTCGATCTTGTATTTTATCAACTCCGTTGTTAAAAATAACGATTTCGAAAATATATTATTTTCTTTTCATTAATGCGATGTATTATAAAAAATTATACCATTTTGGGTCACAATATTTAGAGATAACCACGGACAAAAATTACTTAACAATTTATAATTATTTCTTTTTTAACTATAAATTTCATAGAATAATTACATTTACTATGCATATAATGTAATAAAAGCTGGTACCCACCACCTCGACCAACATGTCAAGACATTTTTACAATTTTTTTAATCGCATTTTTAAATAAGGTGCGATTTAAATGTAAAGTTAAAAAACCCCTTCAAATGCCCTTTCCGAACATAAAATTTTGCTAGCTCTATCTCATAGCTCTGATATACAATTATTTCTTTAATAATTTTGAGAAAAAGTCGGTAGTATAAAAACGGCGATAATCCTTATAATGTAATTAAAAAGAATTTTAGAAAATTAGGGTATAGTAGTAATAATGTAAGAAACGAGGTACGGATCATTTTGATAGAAAATGAGGAAAAGGCAGATAAATGGAAAGAATATTTAGGGAAACTATACGCAGGTTATGAGTTAAGAGATATATTAGAGAAGGAAAATAGTGTGGAGAAAGATGAACCAGGTAACTTATCCCATAATGAGAGAAGAGTTCGATGTAGCCGATAGTTTTTTAAGACAGAATTTGGAAGAAAATCACTC